CCCCCCCCGCCCCCCCCTGCCGCACGGGAAAAAGGCACAAGCGGCGACCTTGGCGAGCAGGGGCGCTCGGGCGGCTGCATTGGCCCGGGCTGTGAGCGGAATTCCCGGTCGGGTTGTGCGCCCAGCGCCGGACCCTGCGGTCGGCCCGCTTGCGGCGGAGTGTCGTGTCAACTGTCGTTCCTGGTCCCGCCCCTTTCTTGGCTGGGGCCCCGGGCCCTCGCGGCCACCTCTGCCATTGCTGCCTGGGGAGGCGGGGCTCAGGCCGCTCTGGATGGTGGTTAAAATGATCATAGAAAACTTCGAGGCGCTGAAATCCTGGCTCAGCAAAACCTTGGAGCCCATGTGAGTAACCGAGCCACTCCCCTTTAGCCCCTTATAAGGGCTCACATGTGCACACCCCGACCCACATGTGTAGGTCTGGGGCTGGGGGGTGTCCATGGAAATGCACGCTGGGATTCGTGCACGCAGTGCGAAATCTAATTGGAGACCTACTCCTGATATAAACAGAGCCCTAAATGACCCCTATTTTCCAGTGAGGAAGTTCACCCCCAGAGTGCAGCGTTTGTATTAAAACATGGTGATGTGTAACTCAATTTTTCTCTCCCTTCAAATTTAGTTCCATATGGATACATGCGTGTAAAGGGGTGGGAAGGTGATGTATGGAGGGAGGTTTTAGATACCCACCAGCGGTCTGTAGCAATACAGCTCATTCAAAGCTTAACCTACCTATATCAAAACTAGATTGCACAGATTAATTTACAGTACCGGATTGGAGATATGCAAGAAAATCCTTTTGTTAATCTTTTAGATATTTGTGCATAGCATGCAAATACCCAGTGTGTTCTGTAGTTTTGACACCATGGTACTGATTGATTCCCATTACATCTAGATTTTGCTGCTACTTATTTGTGAAACTGCATTAGTTTGCAAAGATCCATGCTGCTGTCAGTACATAGAAATAATGTTCAAAATAGCAATAAGTGAGTTCTTGTCTGATATCATTCCTTTGAGCAACCCTGCTTCTGCCACTTAGGTGATCCAGGAGTGAAGGAACCGTGTCATCTTTTTGGGCTGTTGCTGGCATTGTGGTAATAAGGGAAGAGTTTGAGATAAAACATAAGTCAATCAGTGTGTTTTGCTTTTTCAGCTGGCTTTCCCAGTGTTCCTTACCTTTATTCTATTAGTTTTGGTGGATCAGAGTTACTGGCTCTCTGGTAACTTTGCCAGAGCCTCATAAAATCACTTTCCTTCCACTCCTCAATGGCAAAAATAGTGAAGTACCAGCTGTAGAGATTTATTTCTATAGGATTAGAAAAATGTATATGTGTGTAAGACTGGTTCTTGTTGTTAAAGTGGAATCTAGATTGATTTATGGCTCCAGGGAGGATTTTCCAAGGACCATCAAACTAGAGCTTAAGCCGTTAATTAATACAATTATTTACTTCACTCTTTGGTTCTTTGATTAATAAGATACGTAGCAAAATCTGACTGCTTACAATTATTTGGCTTACAGTTTGTTTTCAACAGCAGCTCTTAACTGAGGTTACTTTTACTTTGAATAATACAAGGAGTCTTTTTGGACCTTAAAAAGAATTACTGCCTGTATATTTGTGAGATTAAAATCCATTTAATCAAAAATACTGTTACAGCATTCAGAACCTCATATGCAAGAATACAAGATGCGATGTGCAGTAAAGGATGGTGAGAACTTAGCTATGTTAATTGCTATTTCTCCCATTTTAACTTAACTGCTGCACAAAAGCTGTAGGGAAGAATCATGGCTGGATTAATGCTCGCTCCAATTTTAGAAACTGGAGGATACTTTTTGCTACACTGTTATATTTGATACAGTTTGTAGAAACTCATCAATTAAGTATAGAACAGTTAATATTCTGCTCAATTTGTGAACTGATTTTTCCTCCATTCCTGAAAATTTTGTTACAACACCAGAGGTGTGACTATTATGGACAAAACATATTACTAGGGTTCTTTTTTTCTTGAGAAAACCGTGACTTTATATAAATAGAAGTTATTTATCATGTATGCCCTGGATGAGCTGGCAACTTGATTCTAAATGTGTGACGTTGAATGTGGGATCAATATTGAAAATATTAAGGGCATATTAAATTATTGTGGGTACCTAGGGAACCCCTTCTCCACCTACCCATTACTACAGTAGCAAAGTACTAGAGTAGGAAAATGCATACATTATGGCAGCATCTGCTCTAGGCACATGTACATACATGATACTTGCTTTCAAGAACACAGGTCTGACCTCTGTGTAGTAGAATTTCAGCATATAATGGAGTTGCATATCCAGAATGAGTTTCTTATGCAGCCTGTTGTTTTTTTTAACTGCATTAGAAATTTGTATTAGGGAAATATTAGTACACTTTTTTGTGACAGAGGAACATTCAAAATGTGACTTTTCATCCTTCTCCTACACCAATATTTTGATATGCAGTAGTTGAGTCTGTTTCTCCTTTCTCCTTCAGAATTCACTTTCAAACATGACTTGATCAGACTTTTAGGAGGCAGGGCATATATGTGGATTTAGGAAGTTTTAATTTGCTCATTTATATTAAGACGACCTTTTTGAGTATCACACATATCAAGATGACTTTTTTGTTATTGGTCTTTCTTCACAACTGTTCTATGAGGCTGCCCTAATCCCATTTGTCTTTTATTAGGCTGAAGGTTTTCTTGGTACATCAGCAGTAAATAAGCTACACTTACTGCAAAAATAATGTATTTGATGTATTATTCTGAACAATCTTTCCTATTGTTTTCTATCTTTCTCCCAAGTTGGAAATGTCCCTGGAGATATTATCCATGCAGACTGGGCAAACACTTTTAGTCTTGTTACAAGTGTTGATTTACTGCACTGCTCCTTGGGGTGTTTAATTTGTATCTCATTTGAACTTGTTGCTTTGGCTTTTCTTTTCTTTTTTTCTTTTTTTTTAGGATTTTCAAACTGCCTTACCTCTTTTGGCATTATGTTCTTTACACAAGTTATTTGCTAATATTGAATAGTTGAACATTTTGATTATACTGTATATAGATATTGTGGAAACATAAGCTCATTAAAATGCAGTGCTCTTTGTGCTTGTTAAATACCCTGGGATTTTGTGAATCATTATAAAGGGAATATGAGTAAGAAGATGGTTTAATTGTAACTCCTCTTGTATCTCCTATGGCAAATAAGATTTGTATAGGTGAAATCTATAGCAAAGAAAGGAAAAGCTAGCAACATTTGAATCAAAATGACACTGAAAATATAAGAAGGTATTTAAATAAATAAAAAACAGGGAACCATCAAAGATGAGAATATAGCAAGAAAAAATGCTTAAAAGTAATATCTAGAGATCTCCCAAAAGATCAGGAATGGAGTTGAAATTAAGGATAAAATGGCAAGACATCAGAATGAAGTTTAGATCATTAGAAAGATATACCTTCAGTTGTCATCTTTATGGACAAAGAGTGCCATTTTTTGTTGACTGATTCAGAGCACGTTAATATAGAATATTCCCATTTTCAGAAAATATTCTATATCTATACTCCAAGAGTGGTGTTAAGGCCAAATGCTTAGATACAGCATTTACTCATTTGGAGGTTCTAGCAGGGGAGCACAGCTATTGTTGACTGAAGATTGATATACTACTGTCTGAGATGGACCCCTCTTCTATTAAGCATGCAACTTTGGGAAGGATGCACATGGAACACTGAGGAAGGAAGGTGACACCCGTCTAGTCAGCCACATAGCCAAATCAACCCTGGCAATCAGTAGGGTAACAGATGTTGCAGTCAGATCATTCTCACATCAGCTTTTATTTTCATTTATGAGGAAATTGTATGGCTGCTTCATTCAGAATAATTTTTGTATGCTTTAGGATCCCTGAAATCACAAGAATGATCATTAGTAATTGGACTGGTTCCTTGATATTGCCAACATTTACATTTATTGTTATCAGATGTAAAAAGTATGTAGACCAGAATATTGGGTACAAATACAGCAATTAGAGCCAGGAATTGAGGTATACAACTATTGCCTATTTTGCTTCTGACGCTTAATTTCTGCAGCTTTTTATTCAGTTTATTAGGAGAAGCAAGTTGTCAATGAATCAGTAAAGAGACTTTTCATGTAAATAGGTTTCTGGGTTGATTTCTTACATCAGGAATAAACGCATTTTCAATGTACACATCAATTCACAAACTTCAGAACTTATGGAGTGATGTACTGTGGCTGCTAAGCTGCAGTGTGGTTAATAAATGACCTCCAGATCTTGCTGAATTACAGTGTCCAGTATACCTAGCTAGTGGTACAAGATGTTGTAGTCTGTAGTTCAGCAAGACTTGAAGGACCACAGATTTACTAATCATTACTTAGATGAAATGATATATGTAATTTGAGAGACCCTTAGTTTTGAATTTATTTCATGAGGCTTTTTTCTAATGATGTAACTATGTTAATAGTTTAGATTTCAAAGAAGACTGTAACAGCATACAGTACAGTCTTTTCTTGTTATACGTTAGAATTTATCAGACACAAACTAACATTGTTACTTTTGAATTAAAGTACATATTAGAGATGTAAGAAACTGCAAATGTTAGTTTTAAGGGGTAGGTAGCATGACATTTGAAAATGAAGTCATTTATAAACTAAAAACAAATGTCGGTTTTTTCCTTTTTTTTGTTTTCAGCTGAAATCAGTCCTATATTCATACATCATGCTATGGTTGGCTATACTTATGGCTTTGCATGACTAAATTGATTTAAAATTCACTTTGAAAATAAAGAGATGATTTATTACTAATTTAGTTGTATTATAATGTGATTGAGATATACACACACATATATACACATACGTGCACTGTATATATACAGTGTGTTCGGAAAGTATTCAGACCACTTTCACTTTTTTCAATTTTGTTATGTTGCAGCCTGATGCTACAATCATTCAAATTCTTTTTTTTCCCTCATTAATCTACACTCAGTACCCCATAATGACAAAGTGAAAACAGAATTTT